AAACAATAATTACAGTCATTTTGTCCATGAGTGACAATATTACTTGTGATACTTGCAGCCTCTGTGTTGGGCTTAACAATTCTTTCACCTATATAGCCTATGCTCTTCTTTGAATTATGTAAGTTTCTAGCACAGTTTCTGGCCAATTGATCGCCCACAATGAGCAGTTTCTTGGAAGTGTTTGCAATGTTCCTGGATTGTTTAAACTTCATTATACAAAGATACATTTCCCTCAGTCGTCTTCAGCTGTTTATTCCTATTGTCTAATATCTTCTAGGGATTGTTGGCATTTCCTTCAGTGTTCTCCGACATTCGACACCTGTCTTCTTTTTCTCTTTCTTCTAATTCGCCTATTTTCCTTGAGTATGCATTGTTTGTTTCTTCCAAAAGACTAAAGGTTTTCAGCATATCAGCATGAATATTTTTTAGCCTCGTCATCTCTGGTTGCATGTCTTTTGTCATCTGTTCATAACTGTCTCTGAAGCTTTTTGTTGTTCTCCTCTGCGTCGATTGTTTCTTTTTGTATTTTCAATTGGAGAGCTTCTTTTGTTTTGCAACATTTGAACATAGCTACCATTTTCTACCAGATGCGGGCCTGTTTGTTTTCTTATTTATTATCTTGTCTTTCGTAAATATAAAGTGATTAGGACTCACTGGTCGTTTTTGTCGATTTTTCTCGTGCTGTTTTTTGTGTACTTATTTGCGTTTTGCAATTATTCCTCAAAATCAGTATTTCTGAGTTGCAGTTTTTCAGCGTATAATTTACAAAAATTGCTCACATGTGGATGCAGCACTGGTTCAAATTTGAAAATTTTCTCTCAGCAATAACCCGCTATAGTAAGCAAAAACAGACACGACACGAATAATATGATTAGACTATGACACTATGACTATGTACAAATGGAAGACTAAATATTTTACGATGGCCTCACTACCCAAAAACCAACCAAATAACATAACAATAATAGCATTTTAGTCTAATCATATTAGACGTAAATACCCCTGGTTTGCGAAATAATTGTAAAGTTTAGTTTTATTGGTGCACGTTGTTCAAGGGGGTTTTTAAAACATGGACGCATACAATGGGTACAGCAATTTTTGTGGGAAAACTTTTTATTCGACGACAAAGAATGAGAAAACGTGTTTCTTGGGATTCAATCGAAAGTGTTGGCAGAAACCAAAAAACTCTTCAAATAAGATTTTTATGTATTTACGAGACCTACAAAATGAGACAACACGTAAAACGATCCGAATAATACCAAAAAAGTTATGGCCGAAGACCTAGGCAATACAGGTTTTGGCACTTGTTGGTAATGCGACGATAATTTTACGCAGACACTTGAAATTCCTTAAATCCGTAGGCTTCATACTTCTAAATAACTACAACCAAAATGGACTAGCTTGGCCACGTAGTTTTTGAGAATTTCTGATTGTCTATCTCAAAACACCTGTTTTCCGGCCATCACTACTAATTTATTGAGCAATATAAGGGTATTTTATAGGAAAATACGCGAGTTTACGTTGCCGATATTAATCACAAACCATTACGATAAATGTGAGTAATTGAGCAGATGCGCTACGATATTCGAAAAACATACGTATTATACACATTTTAAAACAAAGCGGATGTGTCTACCACCTTTTGTTGCGAAGAAAAAAATGTTCTTTCAAGATGTCTTCATACCTTTATCTATACATATTTAGAGCTGAAATTTTTACACGGTCACAGACCGACACAATTATGTTTCAAACTGCATATTCTAAATGGCTACATTATTCATGACTTCATGACTTTAATAAGTGAGTTCTTTACGAAGAAATATACTTTCCGGGACCTTTTTCCTAAAAGTATTAATATAGTATACGTTTGTTGTTGGAAAATAAACTCGAGAAAACAAAAAAAAGTAGACAAATATCAACCAATTGTAGCGAACTGGCCATCTGAAAAATTAGTCAAAATGCTCAGTATTAGTCTCTAATACAATATTTAAAGTTTCTCTTGTATATTTGTCGAGATTGTTGTAATTGTTCATAGCATATTTGCTGTGCTGCCAACGTTGGTTTGACATTTGTCGATGTCAAGTAGAGTGGTATAAAGATCCAATAAACCAAGAGGCGTCGTAGTGTAGCGGGAAGGTGTAACGGTTGCAGAACCGTAGGAGGGAGGTTCGAATCTACCTCCCTTTTTTTTACTGTTTTTTATAGTTTGGTGAAATAAATGCTTTTTCACATTATGGGTACTTTTATTGTGATCAAACAGCTTTTCACACACCATATACAATGTAAGCATGCATTCTTTATAATGTTTTTATATTACATTGATAACATTTCAGAAACACTACGTCGAATCATATGATGAGTTTTTGAAAACATATATCTTAGATGTGTAAATTATTAACCAACAATAATAAAATACATCCGAAATTTTGTCTCCCTTTTCAAAGCAATGCCATTTCAATATTTTGTTGAGCTTCAATATTCGAAATGAAATACTTTATAGAAATTATTTTTTTTTATATACGAAATCATTCTTATATACGTATAGTATCTCAATATGTATGTGGCAAGTAGTTATTTTAACAACAGAAATGCTAGCTTTGATCAACATCAGCTTTCTGTCGTTTGACGAAAGCGATATATCTACAATAGTGTCAAGGTTACTATATAAACTCATTGCGTAAAAAATAATATTACTTCTACAAGAAGAATAAATGTTTGGGAAATTTCATTTGCCCAAAGACGGCCTTATGTGGCCGCTAAATCAACGATTATTCCAGTTTACTAAAAAACTTGCAATTCAATGCCTTTTAAAGATTCTTTGTGGATACTAAGTTATAGGTATAGAATAGACAACATTACCACCGACATTCAAGCTGTGTGCCTAATATTATTTAGACACTGCAAAAAAATGCAAAACAAAGGATCATGGTCCATATGCGAGCCATCCCTCTAAAGTGGCTGATGTATGAAACCAACTCATTAAGCTCATGTATTCAACAAAATATATGGTTTCATTCATGGCCACATTAGAGAGGTCAAAGTAACATCTGTAGTGGTTTTTCCATATATTTGTCTAGCCAATGAAATCGCATGTATTTAAAATGCTTCTTTAATGTATACGATGGACGAGAGTAACGTATTTGGTACATTAAGGCAAAGATTCTTTGCAGTAATGGATTTAATGAATGGTCAATTTATTTTAAAATGTCTCTGAAGAAAGCATATATTTCATCAAATTTAAAAAAAATAAAAAAAGGGAGCTTTGTAGATTTGAATCTCCATCCTATAGTTCTGCAACTGTTACTCCATTCCACTACACTATGATGCCTCTTGGTTTACTGGATCTTCATATATACTTGACACAGGCAAATGTCAAGCAAACGTTGGCAGCACATCAAATCTGTTACAAACAATTATAATAAACTATACAAGATACAATGCAGAAACTTCAGATTAGGGACTAATACCGAGCATTTGCCTAATTTTTCAGATGGTCAGTTCCCTACACTCGGTTGATAGGCGTCGTTTATATACATACTATATTAATACTTTTAGAAAAAAAGGTCTAGGGAATTAAATATCTTCATAAAGAAACTGGATGTCATGCCCTACTCAAAGTCATGTAGTCATGAATAATGTAACAATTTAGCACATGCTACATACTAACTAGGCTAAGACAGTTTGGAACGTAAAAATAACATTTATCTTTCAGAATGGTTTGTGATTCATATCGCCAAGATATAAGAGTGTATTCAGCTATAAAATGATCTTTGAACAAATCCTATATATTGCTCAATAAACTAGTAGTGATTGCCAGAAGACAGCTGTTTTGGGATAAACAATTAGACATTCTCAAAAACTACTTCCAATCTACTCCAATTTTGATGTGTATTTAGGAGTATGAAGCCTATGGTTTAAAGAATTTCAAGTAGATGTATGAAATTATCGTCGCATTAGCAAAAAGTGAAAAAATCTGGGTTTTGTCTAGGTTTTCTGTCATACCTTTTTTGCTATTAGTCAAATCTGTTTATGTGAGGTCTCATTTGATAGGTCTCGTATATACCTAAGAATCTTATGTGAAGATTTTTTTGTTCCTACCAACACTTTCAATTGAATCCCAAAAAACACATTTTCTCAATCTTTATTGTGGAATAAAAAGTTTTCCCACAAAAATTACTGTACCCATTGAATGCCTCCATGTTTTAAATACAACCTTTGAACAACTTGCTTCAGTAACACAGCTTTTGCAATTATTTTGGAAAAATTTGCTAATATAGACTATTTATATAGTAACTGCCACCTGAACTGACTTGTAATGCAAAAATCAAAGGGATTCATCATGAAACCAACAGTCAAGTGGAGCACAATATGCTTGACGTGAGCGGCTCTATCCAGCACTCGCTTTAGCGAATTATTGTGCTGCATTACATTACAGCATTTGGCTTTAGTCAGTCGCCACATTTACACTCACCATACAGCTGGCAAAAATTTGGGAGTCAAACATTTATTGTTTTTGTCATGCTAATATTGTAATATAAGATGAGAACTGTGGATATGGATTTTTTGTAAACTGTTAATTCCATTTTTGCCTAAAATCAGTTTTACATGTTATAAATTCCCAATATTATCATGGACATAAATATAAAACTCATTTTAGGCAAAAATTAACTTAATCTAGTCTGGCTCTGTTGTATGGAGTTGATAAATCTGGTATCAATTACTAGACAGGTATCTCAAATTTGTATTTTTTTCCAATAATATAAGAATTATTAGTCTATTGGTGGCAATGACTTGATCAGGTTATCGGCATGTTCACCATGTCCCGCCAATATATAGCTCATGGAAAGATTATTCCATAGCATACTCATATTTACTTCACCAATTTGAATCACAAACCAATTGAGAACCTAGATGTGGAAGCAGGACTTCCAACACGTCCAACTAAACCCTCAGGCCATGCAATCCTAGACAGTAGTCAGGAAGAAAGCATCAATTCTTACCTTTTTCTGCAATCAATTTTCCTTCTTCTGTAAGTTCGATTTTCTTGTCAGAAATAGATTCAGCTAATAAAAGTTCTCCATGGGCTTGTATACTTTTTAAGGCTCCCACAATTTTTTGATGATCTTCATTAAAATATTTTCCCAAGGTAATCGTGTTGGCTTTATCATTTTCAGCCAAATATTTCAAAATATTTTCATTTAACTGGGACATAGCAGTATATAATCTTTTATATGTTAATCTCTGATCACTGCACAAGTACCAAGAAACACACAAGTACCGAGGTTAGGTCAGCGGTTAGGTTAACAATTGGTGTATTTTTTAATTCACCGGTTGAGCAACCGGTGCCACCGGTGGACCAGACATCTGTCCTTTCAATTCAACCGGTTGCTGCCATCACCATACAAAGCTGTCAACAGTGTCAACCATAAGCATCAGTGGTGGAATCAACCGGTGAATTAAAGAATCCACCTTACTTTTCACAATTACGTTTTGACGTCTACTGACACTGAGCACAGATTATGCGGATCCTACACGATGCTTCCAACGTTGTGAACCACAAAACATATACACTGCAGAAGGTTTAATTCCATGCAACACGGTGACTTATATGGTTGTCAGCGGCCATTTTTTGAGGCTGCGACATTGTTGCCAGATTGTGCATTAATATCCCGGAACGTTGCCAGCTCTACATATAAATCTGAGATTGCTATACTTTTATAGAAATTGGCTGGGATATGGGAAATCTTATAACAGCATGTGTTATTAACATTTTGCGCTATCTTAACGAATAAATGCTTTTTTGTATGTTAAAATAGCAATGTCAATAACACAAGCTGTTATAAGATCACTCATATCTACTTGCTAATCTGAATCTTATATTGTATGAACCTATCAATAATATTTATGGTCCAAATATTTTCATTTCATTTTCTTCTGGAGCACCTGCATGGAAAAATTGTTAGAATTAGTGATATAAACTTCTTTTCAAAAAGAAATAATAGTTATCGTTAACAACTGTAATGTTACTAGATTTACCAGATTCTCCATAAGAATTATAACAGGGATATCTAATCACTAATCAGAATTTGGTTTGGTTTGATTTTTACGAAAAATATGATGATATATAATTTAGGAATTTTTACAGCATCATTGAAATATATCATACTTTTTAAGCTATACATATTTAACTTGAAATCTATGGAAATTGTCGTGAGTTTCTCATATTAACTACAGAATAGCAATATTAACAGAGAAGCGCTATAAACCGCTCGATTTGACATAAACTCACATTAGCCATTGTCCTGAATCACGCAGACACAAATAAGAGAAACAAAAATCTAATCCAAGCGAATAACCAAAATTTCTGTGTTATGTGCCGCGGTTATAATATGGTTCAAGATGACACACGGGTTGATGACGTCAGTTACACGAATCGCTTGAACGCGTTGGTTTTAACCGCGGTTTTGTTGCAAGTTGTTTATTTTAGAAAAGCGCGTATAAAATCTCTGATTATATTTATTATCACTTAATAATCGGTGCTTTTTCGTCTACAACTGAATATGGAAAGTTTAAATAAGAAACCTTTCATAATATTCATGGGAGAAATGGTTTTTCAGATTTTTTTTGAATGATGGAACCATGGCTTCGTAACTATGATAACTTTCAATTCTCTAAATTTTTCCGCATGTCCAAGAAAACACTTATTGATTCAGCAAAAAGAAATTAGCAAAACCGTATACAGGTGGATATCATCTAGTGAGTTTATATGGCCATATTTTAATATTCTTGTGGTATATGGCTACACAGGATACTTTGTTAAGCATAGGAACTACATTTAAAGTGTCCCCAACAACCGTAATGAGTATAACTAATAAGGTGCTCCACTTTATGTTAAAACTGAAGTCAGTCTGTATCAATTTTCTCAAAAATGAAGCTGAAGTACAATAACAATATCCAATACCCGGTAAAATTCTAACTTGTCACATTTCAAATAATAACCAGAAATATAAAACTACTCTTGAGTTGGGTAAATACCACAATTTTGCGGTGATAACTATGACATATAACAGCTGATTCGTGACGTCACGGATCTTATAACCAAACTGATAACTACACTCGCTTGAACGGATCGATAAATACCAACCCAAAATGGTAAATACCATTTCCATTTGGTTATCCGCTTGAAGTTGATTAAAGAAAGGTTAACTACAAATGACAGCAATAAACCGTCAATACTTGTCAAAGCCGTCATTCATTCTGGATACCAGCAGTGTTGTCAGGTTTAGAAATCACGCGCGCCGCACTGTTTCCCATTCTGCCATATGAGTTGACTCAATCCATGGTCTAAACTGCTGCGTCATAATTGTCAAAAATGTCAAGTCGTCATAGATTACGTCAAATCTGTCAAATCTTCAAAATGGTGGGTGAAGTTTACTGTCATTTCCTGGAATTAAAACAATTTAAGTGCTAAAATCATGTTTTTGAGCTATTTCCGATTAAAAAAAGTTTTTTGGTGACAACTGTTTTCTTGCAATGGGGACAAGTGGTCATAGTTTGGATACATTTAATATAGCAGGTAGCTAATTTTGAAGGGCATATTTGAAGCTATATTTAAAATGATATTCCAAGATTAGATATGATTACCTAAACAATGATCAGTTATCTTAATGTTATCAGTTTTATCCAAGTGGAAAATGAGCTTCTGTGAGTCTTAATGTTTACTTCAAAGCACAAAGTATTTTACCTTTAACTGTTTGCCTTTGTATACAAATAACTTTAACTATATGTATTATCAAATTTGTCTCAGCATTTAGTCACTATGTGATTCTTTGTTACAGATCTAACTCCTGAGCAACAAAGGATCCTTATTGAAATACGTAGAAGAAAGACTGAACTGCTGCTTGAAATACAGGTAGGAATCTAAGGCGTGTGTACTATTATTATCTCATGTTCCATCTCTTAAATATGAGCAAAAACCTTTATTTATCTATATCATTATTCATAGTTGTGTAGCTCAATCTTGTCCATATCCATATTTCAAGTACCTTATAGTGTGTAAGCTTATCTACTTCCCAGGTGTAAGAAGATTTATGATTGTAACAAAATTAGTCTAAGTATGTGATTTAGATTTAGGGCTAGAGAAAGGTCAATTTATTGATTTTTTAAGCATACAATAGTGAGCAGACCAAGTCCAATGTAACTATCACAATTACCAAAAGTTATGATCAGTTATTATACTGTGTAGTATACACAGGAATTTGGCTGTAGAGCAATTTTTGAACAGTTCTGAGGATGGAAGAATTACTACATGTTCACTTAGTAAATTCCAATGGTAGATCCTTCTGGCATAATACACATTTATGTACCCAAACATGTTAATTGGTTGACAGATCAAAGATTTGTAAGTTGAATTTTTAATGTCATTTTATTATCTTAAATGTGTCTATGAGGTCCCTATGGTCTTCTTTTCGGGTCTTGTTTGGGATGGCAAGTGCCTTCAACTGTTAACTTTGTTACTCTCATCAGTCCATTTCAAATGCTACTTTCAACATTGGGATCTCAGATATGGTACAAGCTACAAAGTTGGTCATAAGAAGCAAAGCTGGGCATTTAAATAACTAAGATGTTGGCACCCAGAAAAATTCAGATTATTTCATTAGACATACAAAAAACCTTGTTTAATATCCCTTATTTTATTATTGATAACCTTTTGTGAAGGAATTACACAATAATCTTGCGACTTTCTCCTCTACAAGGTGGCATAATTAGAATTTCAATATAATGTTTTGATTTTGTGCTCAGTCCTTAACTTTACTTTATCTTATGATTCATATCATTTAATGGTATTGATCAAATCATTGAAAATTGTATAATTTTAAAGAAATATTATAGAGTGAGCATTTAAACTGATGTTAGATCTTGGATTTAATAGTATTTAACTGTCATTCTAAAAAATGCATGTTTGGCAAATTATATGTTTTTTTATTACATATATCAAAATCTAACATATACTTAGTTGGTGTGTAATGGAATAAACAAATGTTATTTTGTGATTTTGAAGGCCAACTATGACAATATATATTTTTTTAATAAATTAAGGTTTGGCAATGTGATTGTAGAACATATTATTCCTTTATTATTATTATTCACATGTGTAAAAATCAAATAGGGCCTACATAAGAAAAAATGTATTTGATGCTGGAGGACAAGAGAGGAAATTTCATATTGAAACTCTAATTATACCATCTTGTAGAGGCGAAAAATCAATATAAATGTTTAATTTATTTTGAAATCCCACTACAAATCAGATGAAAATAAAAACGATGTTAGGAAAATTTGTTTTTTCCATCTCTCTCCGGAAGTTGTTTGAGGTTTGAAACTTTCTAAGCACCATCTAATAAGTTACTTAAATTCGCAACTTTTTCCCAATTTAAGCTACTTTGTATCTCTTACCGTTTCCCAGATTCCAACGGTGAGGATCACAGTTATATGGGTGAATATACGGTACTTGGGAATCCAATGTCCCACCAAAAAAATCTTGAACAAACCGATAAATTGAGGAAATAATGCATACAAGTAGTGTAGATATGCTTTATTTGGAACATATATAATGAAATTTAGGTAACCATTGGGATTTAGGACCATATCGTCAGTCGTTCCTACAAATGGAGGACGTCTTTGTGTCCTCATTCTCACCGCTCCATTTTGAGATTATGTCACAATGTATTTGCATGAAATTATTCATGCTTTTGATTTATATCATGTTTTATTCTGCCTAAAATTTCCTACGATTCAAAAAGAAAACATAACTCCACAATAGGAGAGCACTGACGCTGACACGGAACAGGTGAAATCGAGAAATACATCAGCCTTTCTGAAGGAGAGAAGAGACTTAGTGAGAATGAGGACATAAAGACGTCCTTCATTTGTAGGAACGACTGACGATACGGTCCTAAATCCCAATGGTTACCTAAATTTCATTATATATGTTCCAAATAAAGCATATCTACACTATTTGTATGCATTATTTCCTCAATTTATCGAAAACTACTATGAAAATCAAATAGGCCAAAACGGCGTGCTACAACGACTGACGATATGGCCCTTAGGAACAATATGCTTGAAAATTAACAGAATATACTCCCCTGGCGTGCTTCATTGCCGACTTTCACTACAAATAACGCCAAATCTCTGCATGTGTAAATGGTGTAACAATATACGAATACTCTTTGTATTGCTAGATGCATATTTCAACATATTTTCATGAAAAGTGACACCAGAAAAAGGTATAAATGGATAAAACACACGTTTTTAGTTGATACTGTAAGTTGTGGCGCCCTCACCTGACGCAATTCAAATTGAATATTTTCGTGTAAATGTAACAATTTTGCGATTTGCCCTTGATCAGTGCGTAGAAAATCATGAAATGATGGTTTGAAACCAGAGCGATTTGGCTTATTGAAACTAGGAACGCATCAGTTGCTCACATCGTGTTGGAAAAAATTGGCGTCAAGTAGACTGACGCTGCACGTCTCACGCAACGCTGTCAACATAAACGATTATGTTCGGCCCAAGTTAATCCCTTTGAGCTAGCTACAAACATGTATAATAAACAATTAAGTGGATGAAGTCAACCAAACAGGCTCGTATACAATTAGTACATATCCCATCCATTTGATAATCCTTACCCTAGTTTCTTCCCTACTCTGTATATCGACCATTGTACTGACCGACCGCGTATCTCTATTTCTCTAAGTTATTAGGGCAAAAGTACAGATAAATCTTTGATATGTGAAATATATACTGGTAGGTGCGTAAAGTTACTGGGGTTGGAAGCGTATAAACATACTGCCGTCAACAAAATAAGATATAACTTCCCCCACTGTCAAAAAACGAAGATCGAGCGATTTCTGTTTTTTTTTTCATGACGTCCGCCACTGGTGCGATTTCCAAAAACTACCAAGCATTTTCGTCTTTAGCAGAGTAGTAACCTTGTGTGGAAATTCCATCCAAATCCATGCAGTACTTTTTAGGTTATAGGCGGTCCAAAGACCGAACAGACCAACGGAAATGAACATATAACATCCAAAAAGCATAGTAACTCATTCGCGATTACAATATTCCCTCGCCAGTAGGTGTGGAAAGTAAAAAGATTTTTTAATACAAAACTCATGAATCACAATTAATGTATCTTAATTTTTTTCGAGGTCATGTACATTTTGGTCACTACCCTGGCGTCAGTTCTCTGCCAGTTTCCACGTCAATTGTTTTTCCTACTTTTCATTTTTTGTCATTTATTTACAATAAAAAAAATTGTGAGCCAAAGGCGTACCCAGCTCAAAACGGAAGGGGGCACCTTCAAAAAAAATGTTTTGGTGGAAATTCGACATATCATATATCTACATACATCATTTATATAGCCTTCCACGACGATTTGACGATTCATATGAATATAGAAAACTACTAGGATTACTTTTTTGAAACAGTCATGCACATATTGCGAGATATGCTTTTGCAAGGAATAATTTGAAGGGCTTGGGGCAACAAGGTACCTAAGCGACATTGACTTTATTTCGAGAAATTTGACATTGTAAGTTGTAAGTGAATCCTGAAATCACGTTTTTTGCTTTATTTCACTAGAACCAAAACGATACACTCACAACTGGGAAAAATAAGATTCGGTGACGCTGCGCAGAAAAAATGTGAGACATTCCGATAAAACAAATTTATTTTTGATAACTATGTGGCTTAGTGCCTTGTTACAAAATAAGATTACAGGTGTTATTCCACGTTGTTTGCATCACTCAATATAGCAATCCTTGTAAAGAGTAGATATGTTGAGGTCGTGGTTTACGAAAACTCTATTTGGATTGACGTTCCGACTATAGTGACTCACATACTTTGGAATTGGCTTGAACGTGGTCGAGAACAGACTGAACTCTTTTGCAGAAGTTTTGTTGGGACTGTTATGGTGTTTTGCCTCTACCGTCTCTTTTTGGAATTGTTCTAGCTTGCTGAGCGATAAGTTTTAATCGCTTACTGGTGCTTTGAAGTCCATGGACAGATAAAAATTCAGTTTTACATATTTGAACATCAACTCCATCTACCTTGGCGAAATATTTTTTTGTTACCCGTCGAGCCGATTCCGGGCATTTCGTTTTCTTTTTGTAACTTCTTTCCTCTGGCATAACCTTTATAATAGAAAACAAATATGTATTCTATTTGCCATACGAGTCCAAGTTCAAAAATGGATTAAATATAGTGGATTCAGTTGTATGCAGTACTTTTTGCACTGTCATGGTGGACCTAATATTTTAGCCTCTCGTTGTCGACCCTTAGAATCCAACGTCGTTTGACTAATGCTTATTTCAGTTGAACATAAGAGCTTAGTGATATTTATTAATATTGGAGGTAACTGTTCAATAATAACTAATTTTTAGTAGCAGTATTTCGCGATCCTATTTCAAAAAAGTTATCACTGTTCTGGAATACTGAAAAATGTCAAAAGCCACACATACCATTTTATTTGGTGAAGACGGACATTAGCCACTCTTACAACATTTACATATTTTTAGCACGTATTGAAGTTACACGTGGCCTACATTTTCATTCAGAAATTAGGATTACGATATATTCTGCTAACGGCTTAGTCTAAAATCATTATCTATCGGCATCGCAAAACTAATATAAAAAATCGTTTTCCTACGTGAACAAAGTATAAGCCACGTCTCTTAACGGCAATAAGGTCATGAGCCACAAGCTTATTCATTCACCCGATTTTTTTTGTTCAGACACTATCACAACAGCTACCATTCGTGCGTTAGTCCCTGTCCTTCACACTATCATCTGAAGTAAATCCAGAACCGTTTTTGCTCTCTGAATCACTTAAACATGTATTGTTTTCACCAGCAAACAATTTTCGTTTGGCGTCCATCTTGAAATCTATGTGGCGTATGTCCGTTTCAGTGTAAAAATATGTAGAATATATGGATGTGTCAAAGACACGCTCTAGGAATTGTAGTGAACGAAATTTCAAATACATCAATTCGGAACTTAGATAACTCAGTACTGATGTGTTGGAATGAAAATGTAAATTTGTATTCGAATGTGGCTTGTTGCCCCAAGCCATTCATTTAGTCGTTCGCAATACTTGAAAGCAACACATGAGATAATATATATATATATATATATATATATATATATATATATATATATATATATATATGACATATAGCCAAACATAGTTTTATAGAAGGATATGTACCTAGTTTGAAACACAGTAATGTAGAATGACTTAAAAAACAAATATGTTATATTTTCACCATTGTGGTTTCCGAAAGGGTAAGAGATACGGGTCGGTTGAACGGTGGCAAAGTTGCGTACTGATATATTTTAGAAAATGCATTTGGAAAATTTTGATGTTCCCAGTTTCTCCAGAGATACAGTTAAGGGAACGATTTTTCCCAAAATCATTTATAATTTTTTTCTGAATATATTTCAGATCGTATTTCAAAATAAACTGCACATTGATCTAGCTTTTAATTTTAATTTCAAATATTATAGCATGTCAAACATTTTTATAAAGAAATGTTTCCTGAGTAAGTCTTGAAATTATCGTATAGTCATTTATTTCAGAATATCAAAGATAACGTTACACATTAAAACTTCAATTGCCTAACTTCACATGGTTGAAACTCATCATAATGTAATTCATTTATATTATTCAAAGGTAATGGAAGACATCGAAAACGATATAATTTTAAAAAACTCAGAGCTAAAACGTCAGATCGAAATTCTAATTATGCCTCAATGTAGAATTTAAAAAGTTGTAATGTTATTGTGTAGTTTGTTTGAAATTTATAGACAGTATGGATGTTTGAAATGTTTTGTTTCGGACTAAATATCATGAGATGTGATATTTATTGACTATGTAGCCTGCACGTCAATTATTATTGATGCATAATATTACGCAGAAATCCACTGATGGTACGGACCATAGTAAATACTAATCGTGTGACATTCGCTTTACCTTTTCTGAGATCCCAAAGGCCAGGTTCGAATTTGAAACACACGCAACATGTATAGTGGTTTTAGCAAAATTAAGTTTATATCTATCATAGATTTCAACTAATCCTAGTAATTCTTATCTAATAAAAATTGATTCAGCTTGTCGAGAACCCCGAATGAGTTATTTTGTTTTAAATTTTTACTTCCTATTCCAAAACTGACGGGGAAGCCTTGTAATCGCGAAAAAGCGAAAAAAAAGAAGATATTATATTTTTTGGATGTCTGATGACATATTGTACATCGCGAAAAACCATGTCACTCATTTCCAACGGTCTATCTGAAAGTCTGTCCGTTAATTTTATAACCGCCTGTAACTTGAAAGTACCGCTCCGATTATGACACAATTTTCATCCAAGGTTACTACTATGCCAAGGATGAAAAAGCGTTGTAGTTTTTTAAAATCGGTCTAATAATATCGGAGAAAGGACCAAAAACTGAAAAAAAAAACAAAAATCGCTCGAACTTCGTTATTTAAGGATTTGGAGGGTCCTGTTCATTTTAATAAAAAAATTGTAGTGATAGGAATTTAGGGGTTGGAGGTTGTAGGGGGTGGGGAGGGTATGTGATTTTTTTTAAATTAGTATATTTATACTCTCCCAACCTCGGTAATTTCAAGTTGCACTGGGCCAAACCTGGAGAATTTGGTGGGTGCGGAAGCGGTTCGTAGCCTAATTCGATCAATTCGGCCGTGGCGATGGTGGAGGTGTGAGCCGGTGCGTTGTCATGGTGGAAATGCACTTTTTTATTCGCCAAATGGGGCCGTTTTTCTGCAGTTTGGCGTCGAATCGGCCCAATAATTCGGCATAGTAGAGCCCTGTCCCCGTTTTACCCTTCTCCAGGTAGTCGATGTAGACCTTGTGAATACCAGAAAACGGTAGCCATCACCTTTCCAGCCGCTAGGAGTACGCTCGCCGGGTTAAGTTCACTGATTCGACTGTTCCTTGGTCTCTTGCATGTACCAGTGAATCCGTCTTTCATCGACGGTCACGAAACTATACAGAAACCCCTCGCATTACAGCGTCAAACAGTGCTCTGAAGTGGACAAATGGTTGCGCTTATTGACCCCAGTGAGCAAACGCGGCATCCATCTCGCAGGCATCTTTCTCATGCCCAATGTTTCATGCAGGATATGACCCACGTGATCTTTTGAAATGCCTACTGTCTCAGCTGTCTCGCGCACTTTCAATCGGAGGTCTGCCAATACGAGATCGTGGACTTTTGTCACGTTATCCTTCGTGGTAGCCGTTTTCGGGGCACCTGGGCGTGGCTCAACAAAAATAGGCGTGCAACCACGTTGAAACTCGTTAAACCAATTTTTGACGGTCGCCATCGAAGGAGAAGAGTCACCGTACACAACATCAAAGCGGTCTATGATTTCGCTGCGCAATGAAGCTAAGTACTTATCTGACCGCCCTCGTATAGATGTATTCGTACTGAAGCCAAAAAAACATATGGAGCTTGCACGGACCTAAAGATAACTCGCTGCAGGGATGGCGTGTAGATGTGGAAAGTGACAACCTTGCCGCATGGTCGGTAACTACCATTAAGGGCAGGGAAGAATGTCTATCGATTAATATATGGGCGTGTTTGACTGTCTTAATACGTTTAATTTCTCTGTTCTACATATCCGTAATTAAATAGTTTCCCAGAGGATTTAAATTGAGCTGAACTTAATCCATTATGAACTGATGACGGCATTGAGTAGCAAGTGCACAGTCTACCCACTTGATGCCATTTTTTAATACTACTGCTAAAACAATAGAGTATCCTGATTTCCTTAATCCTGAGTCTTTTATGGGGTACCTAAAAGCAACGTGTCATAAGTATATCACAGAGAATCCCGCGAATTAAACAAATCATTCTCGCCGACACTATCTTGAAAATTGACATTGTCGTTTTTTGTTACTTTTTGTGATACTATATAGGTTTTTGTACAAGATGTCAACTTAGCACTATCGGTTGTACACTTGATGTGTACTCTGTGATGTGGCTTAACTACACACAACGCGGGTGCAGTGCTGATTTCCCGTAGTGATACTCGAAAGTTTTTGAAAACGAAAAAACGAGAAAAATCGTAATATATAACTTTGAACATAACCTCTCTGCAGAAAGGACAACACAAATAACCAGTTTGGCATAGCTATAATAGATATATTTCATGGGCAGCATGTTCTCAGAGTATACTCTACAATCTCGGCATTCTGCAACCAACAAAACACGTTGGGGAACTAACGTGCAGCTTGCAGCATGGTCATGGTCAGTGCTTTTTTGACGTTTTACAGGTTTTTTACGTAATTACCGTGCCGGTTTTTCAATCTGGTTAACTTTCAAGTCAGGTAACTATGACTTGAGAGTTAACTATCACTTGATGAATTCGTTTTTCAGGTTTTAGTTTACAACCGATAAATTGTTGATGCAGCAACGCTGCTTTTATGTCTGAATTATCGTGTTCTGTGCGGTTCGTGATGTTTGGTGATTGTGTCTCGGGTCATCCATGACAACTTTTGCTACTGTCAAACACATTAGGTTAGACATTTGGTTTGCTCACAACTTTACAGTTAACCCATACAAGGTCCTCTGGTTGACTATCGCTTTAGGACAAACTTGATATTGAAAAATTCTTGTTGGACTAACTTCTAGTTTGCAGACGAGTTGCAGTTAACTTACTATTGAAAAACCGGGCCTAAGGCGCTAAAGCTACCACCGAATTTTGAAGTTTTAATAATGCTGTTGAAAGAGTTCATCACGTTGACAAGGCATATCAGAAGATGTAGTCCTTTTTAAACCCTTACTAATTAAGGGAATTTAAATACAAAGCAGTGGTTATTTCCACCAGCACTCAGGGACTACGACAAAGAGCTATGCTAGCAGTTCATGTCTACTGTTAGTACATTGAAAACATACGATAACATCAAGGATTTATCCTAACATAGTCTTCACACAGTTCATTGCTTCGCCCGCTACGTCATCGTAAGTAACTATTACTATTTAAAAGTATTTCTTGATTTATGGCACACTCTGTAGCAAATATGATATCCGTGATGTGAACATGAACACTACCGCCTGGGAGGGGTAGCTAGCACACAAAACATCGTTAAAAACGCTATCTATAAAGAGATAACTGAACTTTCCTTCATAGTATTTTCTTAACATGTTTCGCCTCAAGAAGCATAGTCAGTACTAACTTGAGTCGGTAACGCGGGGGTTCTCATACATTATGAGGTATTATTTATACGTATAGTATTTTTATTTTATAAATATATTTATTTACAGTAAGCAAACAGGTTTATACATATTGTACAACATTTTATTGGATAAAAAGAAGCCAACATATTGGCAATAAAAATCTGAAAAAACAATCCATACCTGATAGCAGTAGAGCCAATCAAATAAACTTATAAGAAGAAAAGTACAAAACTGAACTACGACGAAAGATCGAACTTCCTTCCTTTTTCCTAGACAAGGCTTTCAACAATATTGTTGGTTCTGATAGAAAATATCAGCCAGGTACCGAATATAACAATAAAATAATAATAATAAGCTCTAAAAGAGTATAAGGAGCTAATACAAGGAACTTGAAATTACAAAACTAAATCAACAAGAAAAGGTCGATCTTCCAAACTTTTTTCTATACAAAGCGTTCAACAGTATTGCTGGTTCTGTCAAAAGACATATATATTAGGTACTGATAGTATGAATGAAATATGCTCTTAAACAATATATGGGAACTTGAAAATACAAAACTAAACTAAAAAAGGTCGATTTATCATAAAATAAATACCAGGTACCACCGTGTCAAGGAAATGAGCTCTAAAAGAGCATTTTGATAAATCACCCTGTATATCCGTAAAAACTAAATTAGAACTTTTGATATGAAAATATTTCTGTCCATACTACCTACTTGCCATTTCACTATGTCCATTTCCTCCCGGAGCGCCCCGGACAACATATTTATCTCCGGAATTCGGATACCCGAGAAATAACAAAGAAATAAATATTGTATATCACAACCGCTATAATTGCACGTTTGCCTTGGAATCTGGAATGGTTCACTATTCACTCAAACGATTTACTTAGGGCCGTATCGTCAGAGTCATTTATCTCCTTCAAAAATTTATAGACTGCACCTGTTCCGCGTCAGCATCAGCGCTCTCCTATTGTGAAGTTATGTTTTGTTTTTAAATTGAAGGAAATTTCAGGCTGATAAAACTGATAAAACATGATATAAATCAAAAGCATGAGAAATACAAATAGATATTTGTGACATAACGTAGAAGTAGGAAACTATAAAAATCAAGGAGACCATAAAGGCGTCCTAGAATTGTAGGTACGACTGACGATACGGCCCTTAATTATATCCCACAAACATATATTGCATAAACACCAGCTGAAAGTTTTAGCATGGTCGGTGACTCTTACAATGTAAGGTTATGCTTTTGCAGCTTTTGGCGCCACTATTTGTGTGTAACAAGGAAAAACACCTGACACCAAGCGGACTCCACCAACTCGACTTTATCGTCGGGCATACTCAGTACAGATCTGATGAAATAGATGGCACCGTTCGCCGCATAGTTTTCACTTGCACTATATTTTGCATATAAGCAAATACACTGCAGAGGTAAAATCAAAGAACAAATAATAATAAATTGACATTTGACATATTCATGCGCTGTAGGCTTCAAACTCTTAATCAAGAAGTTATATAAACTATAATTTGCAATTCAGAATTCATCAACAATACCCTAATAGCCTAATACCCATTATCCACTCTCCAATGAACAGTTGATTTTTGAAATCAGCATCAGTCATGGGTCTGGGGGGTAATTAGCCCCTCAACCTCCCATTGCTACGCGCATGGATGTGAATGCGGAAAAACTAAACATACATACCACAATTTGATTAAAGCGTTCTGGTATTTTATCAGTGTGGACGAGCATGGTTAAGAGATAGTTATTTCCTTCAGAAATGCGATATAGGCGCTTCCGGCCTCTGATGCTGATTCATGTACTAACAACGGTCAATTCAACTTTTAGTCGTCTGTAATTTCTTGGAAAAAAAGATTACTTCATTAATTTGGATAAAAAAAATGCGCGTGCCTCTCTTCACCTTAATCCATAATTCCATCATAAATTATTTATTTGTTGAGTATAAACATGAAATCTGGGCATATGCCAGGAGACAAACGCTTTGCATTTTCTCAATAAGTGATGTGGTCATGTGATACCTCATTTTGAAGCTCGTTATGAGTATTTTATGACCATAAAGTATAAAATAAATTGTTTAAATAGCAGACTGGCTGGTTGTCGAAGTTGACCATTTTTATACATTGTATCATCAGATCGTTGATATCAGTCTTCTTTTTCTTGAAGGATATATCCTAATACGTAATGAAGTATGGAACATCATACCAAACCTCAAGGCACCCATAGCAAAATTCAAATGGATAACTTTATGTAATATGAAGATACCATAAATTCAAAATACCTACAAAATCCATCTACTGTATTAAAGGTCTGAAACATGTTTGATTATACGTAGTAAATATGGAAATTTCAAGTACAAATATAACGGCAAAGATACAAACAACCTACACTTTATTATTACAATACACTAATGTAATGCTTATGTTGTAGCTGTTTAGCATTCCTTATAGTATATAACGTTGGCTCATTTGTATTGCATTTTGTATAATCTCTGAAGAAAACAACATTGTTATTCTTGAAGAAAGATAACAACGTGCAGTTATCAAAGTCATGGGTCAAGTAGATGACGCAGATACTTCTGTCTGTCGCTGTCGCCTTGTTCTCGCCACGTACGATATTTTAATGTACTCCAATTATTTGTACTTAGAAACATTGAAATGCACAAAAATGTCCACTCGGTTAGATACAGGTGCCATAAGTTAATGCGCTGATTTAAATGTTTTATAACCTTCAGGATTGTACCTCATTTATTCAAAAGATTTTCTCCCAGAATGATTTGATAAAAATTCTCAAAAGAGATAACTTTTGCAAAATTAATATTACATCATATAAAAATGCTTCATATGATGCGAAAAAGCCAGCGGTCTAGAAAATATTTTTCTTTTAATTCGTGTACCAAAACTGGACAGGAACTATTGTAATTGCGAAATTGATAAGGTTTTTTTTTTGATATATGAAATGTACATCACGAAAAGGCATGTCGTTCATTTCCGTTGGTCTGTCTATCGGTTTGTATGTCGGTCTATCTGTCTGTCGGTCTGTCCGCTAATCTTATAACCGCCTATAACTTGAGAAGTACCGCTCGGATTTTGATGAAATTTTCACACACGCTTTGCCAAGAACGAAAAAGCTTTGTTGTTTTTGAAAATCAGTCTAGTGGTGGCGGAGTCAGGGGCATAAACACGAAAAAAGTAAATATTGCTTAAGCTTCTTTTTTATGTTTCAGAGACCATTTTCGGAAAATTTTTTGTAGGCGTTGAAGCTTTAGGATAAGATTGTAAATGTAACATCGTTAGTATTAGTCAAAGACGTTCTATCATTGAGAAGTTTCTTATTCCGGTACCAACGCGAAAATTACATGATAAAAGTCCGATGTATAATTTGCTCATAATTAATGCAATCGTTGGCGTGGCGTGCACGGCGTGATACTGTATCGTCGTGGATGCCACTGCCGACTGTGCACTGGGTAAAAAACTCCAACTGGTCGGCGGTGGTGTCGTCACTGACACACCGCTACAGGAGAAATGTTTACATATTTCAGAAATATTTGTATATTAGGAGTACGTACCATTTTAGCGTTCTACGATGCTTTTGTTGTTTTTATGTCTACATATATTTTTCTGAAATTTATGATTCTTAAATGTACCACATATTCCGCCTAACCTTTGTGTTACGCCGTCTATGATAGTTCTCTGAATATTTTGTCAAGAAGACTGACTAGGTACTTATGACGCATTGATATACAAGCACGGACTGACAAACCGACACAATTGAGAAACATGGACCTGTGTGTGGTGTAGATATCTTTAAGCACCAGAAAACTTGTGAACCGAAGTTCGGATATTATCGAGAGCTTAATACCTCGATCGTTTAGGTAGTCATTAATTTTGAAAATTGATTCAGAGGCGGCGGAAATAATATCGCTGAAACATAGTGTTACAACTTTTCTGAGATTCCTGTTCATTTTCAGACATTATTTGAAGGGGATGAACATTGTATGTTGGAAGTTGTATGCAGTAAATGGTTGTAAGTTATTGCATATTTGATGTCAGTGAAGGAGTTTCTATTATTCAGAAGCTGCTGATCCCAGTGAAACTAGGTACCTGTTAGACATAATAAGTCACACGTAGTTTCCCATGGAAACAGGAATATGGCAGATTTCCTTTATATAGTTTGATATGCAGAGGTCGAAGATTCGACGTACCTAAGTGAAGCTACCTGATCACGATTCGATTTCGCTTTTTAAAATGATTTCACTCAACCCTTTTCTTTGAAACCTCCAACGAAGGCGTAGCAAGTATAGAGTCAATCTACTTGACGCCGTGTTTTATATTGCATAACTATTGTTAGAAATTACAAATCATAATTTTACCTGTCTTAAACAATGTTTTGACTGAAAATAAGAATGACCCATACCAGCTGATTCAAGCGGCGTGATCTTCCAATATAAAGGTACGTCAACACGATCAAATAATTTGCACAAACAGGTTTGCATAAGCTCGTTTGCGTAAGTAGATCTTTGCATCTGGACGCGGCTTCCGCAAGCCAAACAGTTTGGCTAGAGTAAAATCTGCCCCAGACAGAAAATCAGCTGCGGTTTCAGGCCCAGCTCTAGTAGTACCTTACCAGTGAAGTATTATCAGTTTAACAGGCGATTTGTTCACAAGGACGCTTGTAGTTCGTGTTTTTATTGATTTTCAGAATACCTCAGTGAATTTATCGAACTATATAAGTCGTTTCCGTGTTTCTGGAAAGTGAAGAGCAAGAACAATTAAGTCCGCAATGATACATATCTAGCGTA